TAAAATAATGGAAGGTGTCACTTTAGTGTAGGAGAAAGAAAGCACTGAAGATTGAACCTCTTGTGTTTTTCTACAGAATTATGTGGAAAAATACAAATCACTAGAATTGATGTTTTCCATATTTGATTACTAGTTACTGTTAATATTTGTTTGAAATGGGGATAACAATTTCAGCTTAGCCCATTGTAAAGATTTATTCATGTTGCAAGTTACTTAATGCCTTTTCTTTCTGATGAAGGCACCACTGCGGAGCTTAGAACTGAAGAGATTTGCAGAGATGCACAAGAATTTTGCGTAGCATCTGGCTGCTCAGTGTTACTACTTGTAGCTTCAAATATGCCTTTTTTCTTTTCCCCTCCCCCCCCCAAAAAAAATGTTAGTATTGAGCAACTGTAACTGCTAGGTCTTCCAGTCTGATCAGTGGGACTAAGTTTTGGTCCCCCTGATGTTTGAGCCAGAAGTCATACTGGTAACATTTGGCTGAGTCCGGTGGACTCCCTCACTTTCTGTACTGTGGAGGAAGGCTGGTTTCTAATGGGAAAACATTTAATTATGGAAATTTTACACATATCTCAACTGAGATCTGTGCAACTACTAGAAGTGGAAGTTTCTAAGAAGTTTGACTTGGGCATGGTGAAACTCTTTACAATAATAATTGGTTAGAAGTACCTAAATGTTTGTGGGTTTTTTTGTAAGATACACAGACAACTTGCAGTATATGAAAATGCACCATTGTCAGTCTTGTTGAGGCTACATAGTTGTCAAAATCTTCTCTTTGCACTAACTCTAGCATTAATGCTAGACTATGAAAACATGTACAGAAAATTTATCCTTTCAAGACTTGTTTTTTAGGTATTGTATTGTCTTTTATAAAATGATTTGGAACTGTAATCACTAAACAAGAAGGGATTTTGAGTTCTTAAAAGATGTTCAATTTGACTGGTGTGTCTTGAAAATCACATCAGTTTTGTCATTGCAGACAAAATGTAACTGCAAAAAACAGATAATAATGAAATTTGTTACAAATAGTAATTACATGCAAGTAGAATATAAATAGAGTATTTATTAATAGGAAACTTATATACATTCCATCTGTTATGATGTGTATTAAGTCATTAGCCCTTGATGATGCTGGACATTGAAGTCACTATTGTATAGTAATTTTTTTAGGCTAGCATGTTTGTCAGTAGGCTACAGATACTGAAAGTTTAAGGTTTTTTGCTTATTTTACAAAGTAGAGAAATAATTTAGAGTCATGGTTATGTAATGTGATATATGATCAGGAGCCAGTCAAGGTCAATGAAACTATTGTAAGAATTCTGGATAATAAATAAGGGCCTTGGGCTCCAGGTGGAATTTACAAAATGGTTCTGTTAACTTCACTAACACTTCCAGAAAGTAATGAATTTGGGTGCCTTAATTGAGGATTCCCAAGATCAACTCCATTAGAAAGGTGTTATGTTTCCAAGATATTAAATGTATTCTTTATATAGAAGCAGCATTTTAAAACCAGGCATCTGAAGTTGTTCACTCCTGTCAAAGATCTCTATGCTATAGTCTACTTTTTAAATCTCTAGACTGCCTTTACCATACCGTTCTCAGGGACTGATGCAGGAGTACTTGCCTTGAAGTAGTTGATGGGCTGCAGACATATTAGAAGATCTCTTACAAATTTTTCTGCTTTAATCTGTGATACTTCCTCTGCACCCCTGATGCGTGTACTATGACCAGTGACTTAGCAATTCACTTACTAATTTCTCTTAATCAAGCAATGCAAATAAGAGATGAAAGAAGGAGATAAGATGTAGTAAATTTAATTAATATTTTTAAGCTTGAAGTTCAGAATAATAGAAAATTGCATTGTAGTTTCAGTATTAATTTAGAAAGGATAAACTCTCTTTCTCTGATTACAATGAACACTTGGAGAGCACAGAGCAACATTCAAAAGCGAGAAAGATTCTAAAAAGTTGTTTTTCAGATTTTTAAATTTAATTTCAAGACAAACTCAAACACTTTGGACCTTGTGTCATTGCTCTGGACTCACTGAAGCTGACACTCGTATTTATCTTGCAGCTTCTGTGTTGTTAACTGTGGAAATTTCTAGTGCTTGAAAGAGTTCCTGTTGCAGCACTACATGAGCGTTACTGCACATGGATTCTTGAGAGTTTCATTGCTGCATCCAGCATTCTGAGAAGGTGGTGTGAAATAGATCCAAGTCTGTTTCAGGTCTGCTACTGCTTCTCTTTGCTCAAACAGTAGGCGTAGCAGAGGCACTGGAGGAGGTGGTGTTTCATTTCTTTGCGCTTGTCCTTAAGTTTCCTCATCAACCATAGAGTCGAAACATGGTGATTCTATAAAAAGGGCTGTCTTGCCTCATATTCCTTTGGTGCACAGCACAGTGCAAAACTTCTCAGTAATGACATTGATTGGATTTTTCTTTTGTTGGTTAAATAACTTTATTTTCTTGTGAAGACATCTAGAAATTAATGATTATAATTGATAAAGGATTGAAAGTATTCTTTCAATGGTGATGTTTCTTCCTACAAAACTCTGTTTTGAAAGTTAAATGTGATTTTTAAAAGCTTTTTTCTGACTCTTAGAGGCTAACAAGTAATAGCCAAAATTCTTCATCAGAATGAAATGATGGATTTCAGAGGCAGCAAGTTAATTTTTTCAAGTGGCTTTAAAAAGTGGAGCTCCAAAATGGAAGGGCCTTCCAAGTATATCATTAACTTACTTCTCTCTTAATAACATGTTAATCAAAGTTATGTAGGTTTTCTTTTTCACATAAGGTTTGGGGTTTTTTTAATGAAGAATTCTTGGTAGCAGAAATACTAAAAGACTTGCAACTTAAAGACATGCACATTTATGGGTAAGGCCCTAGAATAAGTGGTTTGAAATCTAGTTCAAATTTAAGGAAAGCCCAATGCAGCTTACGGCTGTTTTTCAACATTTTTCTATTAAGTATAAGGAAGAAGTTTAATGTATCAAGCATTTAATTTGCCAGAGGAGCACGTGAAGATTTATTGACCCAGGTGAAAAGAGAGATTTTCTGGAGAGAAGAAATATAGATCTCCAGGTCTACTGAAAAAGTGGATCTGTGGCCTCCAACAGCTGCATTTGACATGGAATATGTACGGTTACGTGCATTTGGTTTAACTTTATCAGATATGTTTGGAGAGCTTGGTAGCAGAAGATACATTCATAAAATAGAATTGTACTGCCACTGTAAATGTCACTCTCTGTAGAACAAGAGTTGAGACTGAGCAATTGTCTGGCTTTGGAAATTTGTCCTGGTAATACTATTTCATCAGGGAATCTGGCATTTTGGAAGTTTGTGTTCTGTGAACAAATGTGTAGTAGCCAGGCATGTTTTTCAGAATGTAATGCATATGTTATTAGACAAAAAAATCTGGTGCCATTTCAGCAGCAAGTTTGTAATGTAGTTGAAATGTCTGAATATTATAGTTATGTTTTCAGTTAAGGTTTTAAAAAATTATTTTTACAGTTAAAATTTGCAGTAAATTAACCCAAGGGGACTAAAACATCAAAATCAAATTACTTTATTATAACAAGATAATGGCTTGGTTTAGATTTTTTTCTCCCCTTGGGTTGTTTGTGTGTAAATATGGGAAAAAAAAGAAACAAACAAAAAAACCCTCAGGCATCTGAAAGTAAAATCTTGATTTGTTAATGGCAAAATCAACAAAAAATTAAGGTCTTCATAAGTTGAGTATGAGATTTGAAAAGATCTGTTTTAATTTTCAAGTTTAGTTATTGTAACTTTCTCTTCTCCCTGGCCTCTTACAAACATGCATTTGAACCTTTAATGCTGACCATGGAGCTGTGTAGGTCTGGGAGTCTCACTTAATCAAACAGGTGTATTCAGCCTGTGGATATTGTGTTTTGTACTTTGAATTTTGGATTTCAAGTGTTAATTAACATGGCCTACTCTGAGCAGTGTCCTTTTTTGATGATGCGTATATATTGGACATATCTGCCTTTCTTACTTTTTTCTGGGAAAACATGTACATACCAAAGCTGTTAATTCTAAGTTAAAGAATTTAAACCACATAATAAAATAATTTTCATGATAGGATTCTTAATGATTTCAGAGAAAACCACTGTTTCACTGTTTTACGTCTCTTATGGCTGCAGTTGAGAAATTATAAGAAGCAATGTAAATGTGCACATTAAGAATTTTAGATTTTTAGGTGATTTTTAATGAGCTTATATGCTGGAATGCAGTTTTCCTTTTTCTAATGTGTTGTCAGACTAGCTAGAGAATATTTGCATTCAAAATATTGACCTCACAAACCTTAATACATTTGGTTGTTAACTCCATTTCTACTCATTTGCAACTTCCAACAAGCTCCTTGAAATATGGATTGCTTAGTCAAAATATTTTATTTATAGACTCTTGTTTAGGACTATGTGCAGACTACAATGTGATGAAAGGCTTTATAAAATGTAGTTCCTTAATATATTACTTCTATAACTTCAACAGATCCTATTAATTTTGTTATAGTTAAGTGTTATTCATTGCTGAAGTACCATTAGCATTTAGACTGGAGAAGGTCAAAATCCAAATACTGCCAGGTTCCCACTGATTTAATTGACAGCCACAACATATATCACAGGACTCAGTTTTTCACTGAATTAATAGAGAAAAATACTCCTTGTAACTTTTCAGAAGTTAAATGTATTTTTATGTAGTCTTTTTTCTGATGCTTCTCACTGTTAAACAAAAACAATGACTGTGATATCCTTTGGACTAAACCTGCAAGCACTGGTGGACTTGACATGAGCTAGATTTCCACATAATGTAGTGTTCTTACTTTGGCACTTTATTGAAAACTAAAGCTTGGAGTGGCATTCCTTCTTTGTGGAGCATAGCAATAGTTTTTCCTTTGTACCTTTTTTTTTTTTTTTAACTTTAAGCAAATGTAATCAATAAAGACATTTGTCTGATACGTGGCTCTTATTCTTTGGCAGGGTAACTCCATCATCTGAAAATCCCAATGGTGCTACCTGTAGTGTAAGTCAGGGAAAGCCATCTTTAAGAAGAATAAAAGGGAGAATACACAGAAGCAAAAGTCTCGACAGCATTGATTTCTGTGAATTCACTGTAAGTACCATATCTCTGACATTTATCCTATATGAAGTTGAGAATCCTGCTAATAAAGCAGCTAATCCCTCTTCCATTGTGTTTATCTGTCAGAATTAGAGAGGCTGTTGTATTTACTGATGTAATTGCAGTTCCACACTGCCAAATGTTAAGAACAGTGTTGAGCTTGTAGAATTAGTGATTCATAACTGCATTTTTGTTCTTCAGGAACCTTTAGATAAACATATTGTTGTCAGATTTTAATATTGCTGTCTGCATAATATGAAGAATTAGCTGGAAATGGAAGAAATATGAAAAATGAACTGTCTTCAATTTTTTAAAATATATTTACATTTTGAAAATTACATTTAAAGGAAAAAAAGTTATTCTTTAAAAAACTCAGAAAAATATTTTAGTTGTGTATTGCTATAGTAGGGTGCTAGAAAAATGATGTTCCTATAAGATGTGTGTGCTTGTAGTGCTTAGAAACTACTGTCACAGATGATCTTCTATTACAGTTAATCAGTACTGGTATATATTTTTTTTTTCTAGGGTATAGATATGTTTCAGAAAATTCAGTGTGATCATGTTTTCAAACAATTTGGATAGTGATGCTTAGAGATTTAGTGGAATTGAGAGAGTTTTTTACAGAACTTTCAGTTCAGGAGTTGTTTGCCATCAGATAATGGAAGGAAAGAAATTGTTAATATGAAAGAGTATGGGACATGGAGGTACCTTTTCTGCTATTTGTACTGTTCACAAAATCTTAGAATCAGTCCTAAAAGCAGGATGGTTTCCAAAGTTCTTTACAGAAAAATGATTAAAAGCCACAACTCTCAACTAACTGCGAGAGATTTGGCCAAAACAAATTATATTCTGATAAATTAGTATAATGTAGTTTTGAAATATTAAAATAATGTCAGAAAATGTTACATTTTAAACCGGTTATTAGTTTTGAGGATGAGAGAGGTAGATAGTAAATATGTGCTGTCTCTAAAATGAACAAATCAATAGTGACATAGAGATACTCTGGCATTACATGGTAGCAGAAACAATATAACCAAGATGCTCAGATGCAATTTGGGAAAACATCTTTATATAAAGCAAAACAATAGTTTGAGTCTGTTGTATCATTTGGTGTGATATTTTTTACAGGTGATACCAATAGCATAATTGGTATTTACTTCTCAGGACTGTTTTGTTTCCAACTACCAAGTCTTGTAGTGCTGTCTTTGGACAAAGAGCTTGTTGTTTGCTGTTTAAGGAAGTAATAAAATTAGTAGCAAGGAGTTGAGACTTTCTGTATTGTCTGGTGTCCAGACACTTCTAGCAGTGTGGGTATGGCCAAGCTGGGTCCTGTAGCTGTTCAGACACAGGTTTAGGGAGCCTGTGCTGTCAGGAGCTTGCTCTGCCTCATTTAAAGCTAATTGTGAAGTCTGCATAAACTGTTGTCACAGCAGTGGTGTCGGTGTAATCATTACCTTACTGAAGGTTAAAAATTCCCTTAGGGAACGAGATTACTGAAGCAATAATTTTAGCTTGTGCTATATGGGTCTTCATCTGTGTGGTCCTATTAAGGAGTTTTATCTAAATCTATCTCTACACTTGGGGCCTTCAAAGAAAAAGAGATTATAGCCAATGGTCATAAGAGTATTTTGCATGCCATGGAACCTTTGTAAAGAGATTTGTGACAGATAATAATGGGGCATGCCTGTATCTGCAACACACCAATGGTTAGAGTATGTATGTGTAGATGTATAAATTCATACATTGATAGCTAAGTATTGATAATCAGGATCAGGAAAGGAAGCTTGCTTTTTATTCTGAGGTCTCGTGTTAAAGGGTGATAGGAGTTCAAATAGCTAAGCAGACAAATCAGAGTTATAAATATGGATTTTCCTGCTGCTTCGTAATTTAGAATCACAGTGAAATATTTCTTGGTGTTTGTATAATGAAACTTTTATTGTCTTAAAATTGTGATTAAAAATAGATCTGAAGAAATAACTGAGGAATTTAGGATGCCTAAATCTTTCCAGAGTGCTCCTAGAACTGAATGTTTTTCATGCTAAGCATCTTTTTCTAGTAACAAAGTTCAGACACTGGCAGATAGAATAAAATTGAACAGAAAAGTTTTAGTATAAATGAGAAATAATTTTATACAATGAAGGGGAAAGAGCTTTTTAAATCTTCTTTACAACTGTTTTATGGTGCAATATATATCCATTTTATTTACAACAAAGATTAAAGGTTTCATTTTTAAATATGTGGAAAACTTATATGCAGACAAACTCAAAGTAATTTGTGTTCCTAGTGAACTGTTGGTTTTTTAATCATGTAATGAGTTGGATATCTGTTAATTCTGAATGTTACTGGATTTCACTTTAATGACTGTGTATACATCTTGGTGTCATTTCTGTAAACCTTTTGTTCCCTACCATGAAACAAATTCTTACTGATGGCAAATCCTAACAGCAGAAAGACACACTTTCTTAAAGTGTGAAGAAATGTCTCCAGTGGGAAAGTTCTGCACATACAAAAACTGACAAAAATACTGTATTTACTGCTTGACTGTGACTTCAGGTATGGAAGGGGATAAGTTGCAGGGACCACATTAAGTTGCGAGGCTCATTAAAAATGGGGCTGTTATTTCTAAGGGAGGGGACAACCAGGGAGGAGCCTATTGCACCTGTAAAATTTCAGCAGAGGCCGGAGAGTGACTTAGAGGGAGTAACACGCCAGCCTTTGCAGGGCTGTCTGAGATGTGATGCTGCCAAGTTTCTTGTTTACCACAGTTAGTAACATCTGAAGTTTGTGATATTGGTGACTTTTAATTACACCTGTGGCTCTTTATATGGATGATATACCTAAGAATGCTGTAGAGGTCTTTGCCTTTAAAGCTTCATTATTGGATGGCTTGCTGCTGCGATGACTTGCTGCAAGCCTCAGGTATTTGGGAGAGACTCAAAGCACAGAACTCCTGGTTGGTGTGTTGTGTTACCATTCCATAGCTGGCTCACACTGTAGTATTCCTGACATCCTTTCAGGAGGTATAAATTCTCCCTGATTACAAGTGGTGGGATTCCACAGGACTAATGACAAAATAATTTTTTTTCTTAGTGATGCCTCTGCTGTCCTAAGTGGATGATGCTGGCATTTCTAGTAGTGATACCTCTTGTTACTATTTTGCTAAAACAGCTACTGAGAAGATAAAGTATCCAAATAATGTTAAGCCACAAGATGATATTGCAATTGCTCCCTGAAAATGTGTGTCTGCCTTCAACTTCTTGAATCTTTTTTCTTTTCTTTATCTTCTTGCATATTAGTGCTATCTCTTGGTCATATTGGGACCTGGTCCCACAAACAAAGTAAAACATTTTGTTGCTCTTCAGTTCTTCTTTATGGAGTATCATGATGTTGTGCTTCCCCATATATTCTCTCTTGAAATACTCAGCTTTAGTAGCATGCAGTAAAAAAATAAATAAGTCTGGTTTTTATTGAATGTTGGTAAATAGTTATCTGCAACCCAGAGATGTTGCAGAGCTCCTGTCCCACATTGCAAAAAACTTCAGAGAAAAGAGAAAGAATAGGATTGTCAGCTCTTGGAGAACAACGTGGAATACATACTATATTGTAGAATGAGCTTATTGTAGTAATGTTCATGACATCCATATTTTAATGGTTATTACACTGAAACAAAAATCTAGCTTTGCACAAGTTAACCTGTGTAATAGTAGCACTCCTGAGTCCAATTCATTGACAGGGATTTTGTTGTACTAGGCATTGTGCACACACCAAGTGTTTGCTTTCAAGGACCTTACAATCTATTTATAACGATAGGTAAGATGTGACTAACCTTTGGTTCTTTAGCTGCATATGGCTCTCAAGCTGTTCAAGTGCTGCACTGGTGCTAGGGTTTCTGAAGATCAGTTGCATTTTGAGGCTGCCCTGTGAGGTAGAGCACTGGTGCTGCTGGGATGACAGCGTCCTCAGTGATGTGTGAGTTGCCTGGGCAGTCTGTGTGGCAGCTCCAAGGTGTATGAATGGATCTTGTGGTTGCTGACTGTATGACAGGTTTTGTATGTGGATCATAGGTTTGCAAATATTGACCGCCCCTACAGTGTGTACATGCAGAGAAATTATTTCTTTTCCTGTGAAACAGGGATGATGTTTTGTGGGAGTGACAGCAACAGATACTTCAAAAGCATTTATAAAGAGCTCATCTAATTAACTTTGGTGGTGATGGAATGTCTTAAGTAATCTTCTGTTTAATTTTTATTGCTGTGATTCTTTGATTGGACTTGAGAAATTACTAAAATCATCATCTCCAAAACTCTATGTTTGAAAGAATACAGACATGACACTCTCCTGCTAAAATCAGCCCTTAAGGAAGAAGTACCTCTCCTTGGAAATCAGAGCACTGCAGTTATTTACAAGATGAACAAGTCCAGTTCTGCCTATTTTCTGGAGGCAGCTGATGCTGACCTGCTCTCAATAAACATGCACACAGCAAGTTTTCTGTTATCTGCAGTCACAGTGAAGCAGATAATCTCCAATATACTTCTACTTTCATCAGGGTGGAATTCCAGGGAATTATTTTGCAAAATGTTATGGAAATGCTGAATCTTTTTTTTTTTCTTTTTTTACCCCCCATTCTTTTCTCATCTTACCTTTTTCAGATGCACATTTTTGTCTCCCCTCACCATGTACTGATGATGAAGTGAATTTGGTTAGAATGGCTGTGTACTGCTGCTTTAGAGGTCAGTGGATGTCACCATGCAAAATACAACAGTAACCACGGTAGGGTAGGAGATTACCCAAAAGAGGAAAAAAGAGAGACAGCTAAGTACAAAGGACAGCCTGAGTAAAGCGCTGTGGACTGCCTGACAAAATGAAAGAGGCAATAAAGGAAGAGAATCAGAAAGTGAGAATTAGCTAACACATAATTGCCTTTTTTGATAGGGTGGACACATGTTCACGTACAACATTAATTTTTATCTCACTGTAGTAAGTGTTACACCATT